GCTGAATTGAATTCAGCCAAGTTCCTTCCAGCTCTACAGTACGACAATTCCAAATACCACACCACCCAGACTTCCTAGATATGCATAGAGATCTCAACCTCCTCCACTTGTTTTTCTGTGGCCATAGCTCTCTCAGGTCATCACTTTGGAGCTTCTATTTTCTTTTGTTGCTGTGGCCACCCTTCACTCTCCAACCCAGAAGTGCAGAAGTACAGGGAGAACAGTGTTCCAGCCACAGACCAGGGGCAGTGGCAGCAGCCTGGCCAGCTCTGCTCTAGACCTCAGACAGAAATCTTCCTGGTGCTGCCTGTCCTCTCCTCGCCTTGCCATTTCATCCCAGGGATAGGACTGGAGGTTCTGGGTCCGTGTAGAGTCAGGAAGGAGAGGGCAATGAAGTCAGGCTGTCTGGCCACCTGTGTGCTGGGCCTGGTGCTCAATGTTCCAGCATGCCCTGGAGATGTATGGATAGGTGGTCCAGCACAAGTCCCCAGGGTGAGAGGCTCCTCAGGATTGGGGGTGTCTGAAAAAACACAGAGGGTGTGTGTGGACTTGCCAAAGAGTTCTCCGTGCGTGCAATGACAAAAATTCCCTGAGGGCAGACATATTTTAGCCTTAAGGGAGTCAGGTGGGCTGGGCTATCTGAGAAGGCTCTAAGGAGATGGGGCTGGAGGTGCACTTTGGGAGGACAGGACTAGGATGTAGAGCAGGATCCAGGTGGAACAAACTAATTTGAAGGTCTTTGAGCTGTGGGTCTGAGCAGAGAGTTCACTGTGGCTGCTGAGACAGGGTATGCAGATCTCTGCCCCGGTTGCTCTCAGCCCCTACAACTGGGTCTTTTCCTGAAATGTCCTGAGGCAATGGATGCAACACTGCCCACCCTGGAGGACCCAGACCACCAAGGAGCAGCTCCCTTCCTCTACCCCAGAGCAGTGACCGGGGAGGCAAGAAGCAGGGCCAGGTTGGAGAGCCAGGGCCCTGAGCTGGACAGTGAGGACAAGTACTCTGCCTCACCTCCCACAACTGCTGGGCTCAGGGGTGAGACTCTCAGTTATCACCGAATGAAGCATATAATCTGCTTTTGTTGCTCTCTCTACTTTTTTCCTCCCAGTGTTCTGGGGGTTGAATCCAGGACCTTTTCACTGAACTACATACCCAGGCTTTTTATCTTTTGAGAGTCTCACTGAGTCACTAGGCTGAGATCAAACTTGCACTCCTGCCTCAGCCTCCCATAGTGCTGGGATTACAGGTATGCACCTCTCCACTTTTTATACACCTCTTCCCCAACTTTCAGTCTCCCCTTTTCCACCCAGCAGCCCCAAACCCTCAGGCTACCTTGCCATCTACTGTCTCAAGATAAAATCATCTGATAATTCCAAACAGTGAGTGGGTTTATGACTAAAGGTTTCCTTTCTCCAGATAACTATTCAAAGACACAGTGCCAGAAGACAAGGTTGAATCCAAAGAAATGTCTCTAAGAGAAGATTGTGGAACACTGAAACTGAAGTTTTCTTTCTTACCAATAGCCTTTAGTACTTCTCTGTTTAATTCATTCTTTTATTCAATCAACATTTTTGAGCATCCACTATATATGACAAGTGTCATAATGGGTGCTGAGAACTCAAAGATGAAAAAGCACTGTTGCTGCTGAGTAGGAGATGGAAAACTCAACTCATAATGTGGATGTGGCAACTATCTTCAAAGATCTTCCTACTTGTTTGAAGCATCTACTTAAGTAGAAACATTTGGTGATTAAAAATCATTCCTGTCTTGGAGAAAATGTTCAAATGGGAAAGGAAATAAGGGATGGGGGGAGAGGAAGGAAGGGAAAAGAAAAGAAAAGAGAATAGGAGGGGGAAAAATGGAAACAAAGCTTTTGTAAATAAGGAGGAAAGGGGTTGAAGGAAGGGGAAGAGATGGGGAAAAAAGAATCAAGATATATTATGTACAGGTATAAATTCCCTATGATGAATGTGATTGTTATGTATATCTAAAATGTACCAATAAAATTAATTTTTTAAAAAGAAAAATAAATTAAAAAGTACATATAAATGGCTAAGCCAGATGGAAATATAATAATAAATAGATACGTTTCTTAAAAGTAATAATAATAATAATATGCTTCTAAAAATCATTCCTCTCTACTTATTAAAGCAGTTCCTATAAAGATGTTTATTGAATAGTGCTTTGTAGACCTAGACTTGAACTTGATAAAGCTACATGTCAATATATATTTTATAACTCAGACATTTTCCCATTGAGCCTGGACACCCCGGCTACTCCTATGTGTGTCTAATGAGAAGATCTGACCACAGTTGTTATGAGAATGATCAGGCCTGGATTTTCTTCGTGGTTCCACTTGAAGTTCTCCAGACAGATCACTGGGACCAGTTCCTTCTCTTTCTGTTTTCTGCTTGAGCATACAGTGCATGAATCATTTGATTTTTTTGCCCCTCTTTTTCCTTGGGTTATATTTGGTATTTCCTGACTTCCCTTCCAACCCTATTAATAATATATGATAACAGGTTGTACCACACTTCAACATACCACACAACTATAGATAGCAAAATATGACATGCACTGAATTATTCAATAGGTGAATAATTCCATGGAGAGTGTTCCATATCCAGACGTGTAGAGTTGTTAATTGGGATGATATACATAGAGTCCTCATTTGGTCCTCCTCCAGCCCTGCAAATCTGTTGCCAGGAGCTGCCCAACCCATTTTAAAGAAGCCACAACCTGTTCATTCACCAAGGTAAAAAATTTCCCACTTACAGCTCAGTTCTGATTACATTAACCATCATCTCCCACATATAGGACCTCAACATAGCAGTCTCTCACATATGTGGGTGCTTTTAGGGTCAACTGGGAATTGAGACTTCAAATTGGAACTGTCCCAGAGAAACTTGGCATGTGTGGTCATGACATTTTTTCTGTGACTAAGGGAATTCTTAGTCAAATGGTGATTCTCCAAAGGGAAGTCAACTCAGCTGGTAGTGACATTGGATAAGGGGAGCTAAATTCCAAAAGCAAACTGACAGAGGCCAGCAGTGTCTCTGACCCTGAGAGATCCCAGGTGACAGGAAAGGGAGGTTGGCCTGAGTCAACAAGAGAGAAGGAGTGGAGAAGGAAATTAGGAAGAAGGGAGATAAGAGATAGGGAAGGAGAAATGAGGGCCAAGAAAGGGAGACAAAGAAAAGAGAAAAATGAGAATAAGAAGGGAAGAAAGTGAGGGGCGATACTGAGGAAGAGAATGGAGAAGATGGTGGCAGCAGCAGGAGTTAGGGACAGGACCCATGCCATGGCTTCAGCTGCTGACAGGGATATCTATCAAGAAACAATCTCCCAGGGTCCTGCTCACTCCAGCATTTTCTAGTCAAGGCCTCTCAAGTACCCATCTCTTCCACAAGGCTCCCCAGTGAGGCAGACACCTGCTCACTTACCTAGCCCACCTCCCACTTGGGCTAGACAGGGCTCCTGCAGCCCACATACAGGAAGAACTGTGGTCCTGACAGGCTAACATCAGACCCTTGAGTCCTCACCATGGTATATAGCCATCCATCCCCTCAGGCCTGTCCACAGGCACCTGCTCTCCTGGTTTCTGACCTTACAGCCACATATTTAACACATATTCTTTTCAAAGAATTGAACAAAAGTGTACTTACGGGGGGTTATAGGTTGTATTTAGATGTCCCTCCAAAGCTGCATGCAGACATAGGTGAGAAGTTTTGAAGGTGGCTGGCTTCGGGTGTGTGAATGTGGATTAAGGGTATGATGATAGGATTAAGGGGTCAGATGGTAGAAGCCCCACTTTGGGTGTAGGTGGCATCAATCAATGGGCCTTCAGCATGGATGGAATACACAAGGAGAGAGGAAAGGCAGGTCTGCTGCTAGTTGGTGCTGTTGCTTTGCTATCTCTTGCCTGTTTGTCATGGACTATTTCTCTTCTGCGATGCCCCTCTGCCATGCCACCTGGCCTTGAAGCCAGCTGACTATAGAGTGAAACCTCTACAAACTGTGAGCTAAATAAACCTTTCCTCCTTGAACTTGTGGGTGTTGGGTATTTTGTCTCAGCAACAAGAAAAGTAACTAAGGCAGGGAGGATCTCCTCAAAAACACATAACTTCTCTGAAGGGCCAATTTCATGTTTAAGCATCAAAATTAACTGTGAAGAAAGCCCAAGTCTCTTTCCAAGAGGAGCTGATCTAAGAGTTACATCATACTTAGAAACACAATAAATAAAAATTAAAAAACCAAATAGCTCAATCAGCCCCTGGAAACCCGGGTATGCGACACCCACACCCAACTCCTAGGAGAGAAGGAATCCTGCCTTGTCTACAAAAATTCCTTACAATCCCTCCTTGTAAACAGTGTGCCCTGCCTGAGAATATTCCATTTTTACTTACTGAATAAATATCACTGAATTCCCACTTCTGAGTTTGCAGAGTTCCTTTGTGACTGATTCTAGCTGCAAACACTACAACAGATCCAGAGAGAATAACTGTGTGATGGTATGAAGGCCGCATCTCAGCGCCAGCTTAATGGACACAGTTCTGCCCCTGCCAGGGGAGCTTTACTCAGGTCTGGTCTTTAGAGGACTTCAGAGGAACAAGGGACCCCTGTCTGACAGCCACCCCAATGCCATCCACACACATACCCCTACTCACACTTGCTGCTGATGTGCAAAATCCTTGTTGCAGTGCACAGCCTTTGATCCCACCCCCAAATGGAGACTTGAGACCTCTGTCTGCCACCCCACTCTGCCCCATAATAGGCCACTGAGTCCCTACTTTGTGGAGGTTGGGTCCTATCCCTCATGCTTCACATCTATTCAATCCTTGAGTTAAAGGAAACAGACCCCAAAATGCAGTGAGCTGTGAGCCACTGGACCAAGCTGCTCCTCCCCTGAGGCCAGCTCTGAGGGTGGGCAAAGTGGCAAGAATTACAGTGTCCCCACAGGACATGCTCCCCCCTCCCTGGCCATTTGCTGGGGTCTGTACCTGGAGCTGGAGTCACTGCTGCTCTGCACTGCTGGGTCATCGGTGACATTAAAGAGCCCCGTCCAATTGGCCAGCTGGTCATCACTCTGCCAACCAAACTGGAGGCCTCTGGCAAGAAAACGAGGCAGTGTCGGTACACATGCTCATTTGTTGTGTTAAGCCTGTCTACCAGACAGCCACATGCTGTCATCGTGGCCAAGAGACATAGAGCCTTGATTGTATCTTGGATGGACATGGTGGTGATGACTCTAACCATGAGGGTAACAATGGTAAACCAAAGTCTTTGGTGGCATCTCTGGTATCCTACATCCAGGCCTCACTTCATCTTTATAGGCAGAGCTAAGATCACACATTTCACATGCTGGAAAACTGAGGCTTAGAGAGATTAACATCACAGGGCTTTTCTATCTCTCTCCTATGTGGCACTGTACCTCAATTCCACCTCTAGAGACTTAAACCAAAAGAACTCTAGTCTCTAGCACTTTGACCTCCTTAGAGGTCAGATGCTTTTCAAATATTTTAATGAAATTTTCAATTTCCCGATGTATAAGGATACTACTCCTAGTTTAAGATAATGGATTTAAAAACCTGACAAAAATGACAGCAAAGCAATAAAGAAAGACAAGGGCATGGAGAGAAGGTGACAGAAGGGGACAGCAACAACATTTTTAGAAGACAACAAACATATGGGTGGTCGACTTAGGTCATTAAAAAGTGGAATCCAGATGACCTGCAAGAGGCAAGTCTATTCATAGTCCACAAAGGCCAAAGGCTGGGTGGGGAGTGCAAGGGGTCAGGGCCACTGCTGCTGCTGTGTGTGACAGAACTAAAGGCCAAAGGACTGTGGTAAGACTATAGGAGCAGTTAGACATCCTCCCCACAACACACACCCACACCCAGTCAAAATCCCTTTCATAAACCCAAATGGCCTGGCCACTGCACCTGCCTATCCCACAGATGGCAGCAGATTTGCTCCCCAGGAAAGCTGGACCATAAAAGTTCTGCAGTGTTTTCTTCATGTGTGCATACTCCACACCGAACACAGCGAGGCACACCTGAAGTTCTGCTGACTGAATGCACCTGGGTTTTCTGTGCTGGGAACCACCCATCCTGCCTATCCTCAGGTCTAGCTAGGGAAACTGAGGCTCAAAGAAAATGGCTAGAAAGACATAGGCTGGTGCCCACCTAAGCACCCTGGGACACACTTTCTTGCCTGGCACTGTGGACACCTGGGGCTTGAGGGCTCTTTGTTGGGGGGTCCCATCTTGTGCATTGTAGGATACTGTACAACATCCCAGGTATCTGCTACTAGATGCCACCAGCATGGAACCACAAGCCTCCTGCATGATGATCAAAAATACCTCCAGGCATCGCCAAATGTTCCCTGGGGGAAAAATCACCTTGGTTGAGAACGTTTATAATACAACAATCCACAGCACAAGGAACTTTCTCGGGATTGGCTGACCCTTAAACACAAATGTGCTACTAGACACCACTGGTGGGTGAAGAAAGTTTGAATTTGAAAGCCATAGAACAAAACAAATTAAAAAAGAAACTCACAGGGAAAGAGACAAATAAAAATTTAATTAAACTCTTAATAATAAGTAACCTCTCAGTGAAGGGAATGGGATAGCAGATGGTTTTTGGAGCTGGTCCATCCATATCTCCACTAATGAGCTGATGCCCTTAGTTGAGTCTCTGCTCCTCTCATAGCCTGTCTTCTCATCTTTGAAGTACAGGACTGTCCTGGATGTCTCCATAGTCCTTGACTACAAGTGTCTTACAGCTGAGCCATCTTTCTCCTTCAGATGTTTGCCCACTTTCCATGTGGGCATTGGCTCAGGTTCCCAGCCAGACTCTGGTGCTAGTGAAGAGCTGTATACATGAGATGCTCAATCCACACTTTGTTACCTGGCTACTGTTTCCCTTTTCACCCTCTCAAGTCTCCATGGCAGAGGGGAGTTCAGCCTGGCAGAGGAAGAAAACCGGCGGAACACAGTCTGAGACCAAGGCAAAACGCCCATCCAGGCTGGGGATTTAGCTCAGTGGTTTCACCACCTGCTGCACAAGCGCAAGGACCCAAGTTCAATCCCTGGTACCAAAAACAACAACAACAACAACAACACCCATCCAGTTCTCAGTGTGCTCAGAAAACAGCCACTCTCCATTTTGGTATGATTCAATAATTATTCATTTATTTATTTATTGAGGTGGTTAAATTTCAATATTTAACAGATCAGCAAAGTATTCCTTGGAGAGCAACTGGATTTGGTTTACTCAGAAGAAAGGCCTTTGTGAACCTCTCTGAACTGGGCTCCTTATTTTTACATATATGATCTTGATTTGTAGAATAGCCCAAGCAAAAAGTCTCATTATCTGTATTTATAAATCATGACCTATGCAGCCCTAAGAGTTTTGCTGACTCTCTTAAGATCACAAGGCTAACAAGTGGCCAAGCTAAGATTTAAACCCAGGACAGTCTGACTCTGAAAAGTTTTACTCCTAAAAACATGTGTCTCTTTGCCAAAAAAAAAGGGAGGAGAGTGATTTCCACCTCAGATTTTGCAAATTAACTGGTTTGCAAACATATTCAGATCAGTTTCCAGCCTAACAGTGCGCTATGAAATTCACAGCTCCTTAAAAATAACCTGGCCAGCAAGACTTTTCTCCACTGAATGCACAAAAGGTCAGGTAGCCACAATGCACTCTCCCACTCCCTGGGTAAGCAGACATTAATTACAATCCTTGAGCAGGAAATATGATGACATAAAAGATGCTCATTATAAGTTAAATTTTTAAAAAACAGGCTACAAAAGGGGGATATGCAAGTTCTGGTGTGCTTTCCAGCTCTCCAGCTCTCCAGCTCTCCAGCTCCTGCAGTACTGGTCTGTCCTGCAGGACACCCAGTGGAGCTCCCTGCCAGGGACTTTCAGAAGCACTGTTTGTAGGGGTCGTTGAGGGGAGTTCCGGAGCACACAGAGGCTGTCCAGTACTGAGTGCAGCAGTACCTCCCCAGGCCACTTCCAGGAGAAACAATAAACAACTTTGAAGATCAGTTTATAAAACTCATCAAAAGTCTCCTCCAATAGACTGTTCCACCACTTCCAGACCAGAGGTAGGGCCCTCTGGGCTGCCTTTCCACTGCTCCCAGCCCAGAGAAAGGGGCTTCCAGGCTGCTGTTCCACTGCTCCCAGCCCAGAGGAAGGGGCTTCCGGGCCACCTTTGCACCACTTCCAGAGCAGAGGAAGGGGCTTCCGGGCCACTGTTCTGCCACTCCCAGTGCAGAGCAAGGGGCTTCTGGGCCGCCATTCCACCACTCCCAGCCCAGAGGTAGGGGCTTCGAGGCCACCTTTGCACCACTCCCAGAGCAGAGGAAGGGGCTTGCAGACTGCTGTTCCATCACTCCCAGCCCAGAGGAAGGGGCTTCTGGGCTGCCTTTCCACCACTTCCAGCCCAGAGGAAGGGGTTTCTGGGCTGCCTTTCCACTGCTCTCAGCCCAGAGGTAGGAGCTTCTGGGCTGCTGTTCCACCACTCCCAGTGCAGAGTAAGAGGCTTAAGGGGCTGCTGTTCACTGCTCCCAGCCCAGAGGAAGGGGGTTCTGGGATGCCGTTCCACTTCTTGAAGCCCAGAGGTAGGGACTTCCAGGCTGTTGTTACACCACTCCCAGCACAGAGGAGGTGAGCTGCGCAGGCGCCATCAGCACCCCCCCACGCCCCCACCCCACCAACGAAATGAGAAGATACGTCAACAAGTCTCAAAACCAGACTTCCAGATCACCTAAGGCAACCCCAAAAGGAAACAAGATGGAACACTCTGATACTCAATCATCTGGGCTGGCAACAAAAGAGGATCTGAAAAAGTGAAATCAGAAATAATTTCTCAGATAACAGCAGAGATTGTGCTCATAGTGCAAGACATGATGAATAAATCTAGAGAGGACACAGATTTAAAAAAAAATAGAGGAGCTGAGGAACACGATGGAATCCCAACATAGGAAACAAATGGTATCCATAAAACAGATACAAACAGATTTCCAGGAGTTACAGCAAAATGAGCCAATGTGAGGTCAAAATTTCAGATATAGAAGATAAGATTGCAATTAGTGATCAGGAAAAGAAAAATTGCTTCAAAATTATAAGGGACCATGAGAAATCAATCCAGCAGCTCCTAGACGATGCAAAGAAGAATAACATAAGCCTGATTGGAGTCAATGAAGAAACAGGAGAGAATGCAGATGACATAAAAAAACTGTTCACAGAAGTGATTGCAGCAGAAAACTTCCCAAGGGGGGGCGGAGAACTTGACATACAGATAAGTGAGGCATATAGGACTCCAAATAGCCTTGATCAAAAAAATCTACATATAGGCATATAATTGTTAAGATTCCAGAAACTCAACAGAAAAACAAAGTTCTACAAGCAGTTAGAGAAAAGAAACAAATCACA